GAGTAGAGAGAAGAAAGAAGAGAAGAGAGAGAGAAAGATGAGGAGAGAGAGAGAGAGAGGAGAGAGAGAGAGAGAGAGAGAGAAGAGAGGAGAGAGAGAGGATAGGAGAAGAGAGAGAGAGAGAGAGAGAGAGAGAGAGAGAAAAGAGAGAGAGAGGGAGGAGAGAGCGAGCAGTGAGAAGAAGAGACGAAGTAAGAGGAGAGGATGAGAGAGAGACGAGAGAGATGAGAGAGGGAATGAGAGAGATGAGGAGATAGATAAGAGAGATGAGAGAGAGAAGAAGAGGTTACGAGAGAGTGAGCACAGTGAGACGAGAGTGCCTAGATGAGTGATGGAGAGAAAGAGAGAGAGATAAGCAGAGAAGAGAGAGCTTTGTCTTGAGCCAGAGAGAGAGAGATGACGAGGAGACGAGGAGAAGAGCCAGAGAGAGAGAGAAGGAGAGAGAGAGAGAAGAAGAGGACAGAGAGAGAGAGAGAGAGAGAGAGAGAGAGAGAGAGAGATGAGAGGAGAGACATACAGGAGGAAGAGAGACAGACCAGACAGACCAGACAGAGAGAAGCTGGTGTGAAGGGAGAGGATAAATAACGTAATTTATGCTACGTGCTAAGAATGACATTATCCACGATACAGTGGATGCCTAAATCAGCAGACAATGATATGGCTTGATATTTCTTTGTTTTCTTGAGTGCGGGGGGGGGGGGGAGAGGGGACCATTCCATCGCTTCAGATATGTAATTTGAGTTACATATTTCATATCTTATTCCTCTATTTCCGGGCTTTGGTCAAATAAACTTTACATGTCGATTATTTTTCGTGTCTGTTTGTCACTCTAAATGGTGTATGAGTTTCCGCTTCTCGTGTCTCAATCTCTCTTTTTTTGGCGGGTTGATCAATTATATTGCAATTTCCTGAGTTTTGTGTATTTAATTTTTGTTTCCACTCTCATATGAAATACGTTTCCTTGGACTTGATCGAATGTGGTGTATGATTATTTTTCTTCAAATACTCATAGCCAGGGATATGAAATTATACTTGCAATAAAGTTTGATTTATATGCTAGAATATACTTTCCATAGAAGGTCACAAGTTTCCAGCGAATTAGATTTTTTTGCGAGTAGTTTTTCACTTCTCGCAGCAACGTCCGTAGATCTCAGACGCCCCCCCCCCTCCCCGAATTCTACTCTTGCACGCGACCTGCAGGATTGCAAAAAGCCCGCAGTTTATGCACGGCGCGGCGTCCCAGGGAGAGGCGTGAGATAGCATCCTTCACCCATCCACCATATTCGCATTCCTATCTGTGAACGTCTGCGCTGCTTCAGTCCCAGGGCGGCCGTCATCCTTGCGTCTCCCTAACGTGCGTGAGGCGGTGACTTCTGCCCCGGGACTTCTGGTGGGGGGTCGGAGGCGGCTAATAATTACTAACCATAAAACCCCGATCTTCAGACGGGGCTGCAGACCCAAGAATCATTCATTTGAAGGGGGTAATTTGGGCACGGTCTCCACTACCCGCCTAACTTATGGCTTCCTAACTCACTCCTACAGCGAGCCTAATCCAGTAAAGTGCGCGGGAAACGGGCCCTAATTTACAATAATTGAGTTACAAGTATCATCATTGGCGCGGCCATACGTCACGTCGAGGCCCCGCCCCCTCGAGCGCTATTGGCTGCCTCGAGGCACAGGGTAAGGGATGGGGCGGAGTTTATTCGTTATCTCGGCCAATGCGGAGGGAGAAAATAATCTTGTGGGCGGAGCGTAAACCCTTTCGTCTTGAGTAGGTATGATGGTGTCTGGGCTGAGTCTTGGCACTTGTTCTTGAACCTTTGGACAGTGGAGGTCAGTGTTGTGAAGATGAGTTTGGTAGGAGGATACTCGATGCCGCAGACTTACGGCCATGCCACGATGGGGCACACGCCTTCCCCCGAGGCACTGTACTCGCCTTACTACTCCCACCCGAGTCCCCCTGGGCAGGCGCTGTACCCGGGCTGGGGCTATTCTCCCCCGGGCTACTCTCCAGGGTATTCGTCCGAGGTGGCCGTCGCCTGTCAGGAATATGGCGTGTCCGGAGGCTTCGTCGTGGGTCCCGGTTCCCCCCACGACCTCGGGGGCGACTACACGATCGAAATGGTGGACGGCTGCGGCCGCGTGGTGAAGCGAAGGTCGTCGGCCAACAAGAAGGAGCGTCGGCGCACCCAGAGCATCAACAACGCCTTCGCGGAGTTGCGGGAGTGCATCCCCAACGTCCCGGCCGACACCAAGCTCTCCAAGATCAAGACGCTGCGCCTCGCCACCTCCTACATCGCCTACCTGATGGAGGTCCTGCACACGGAGGACTCCAACCCCGCCCCGCCGCCCGAGCCCTTCCGCGCCGACCTGCCGCCCAGAACCAGACCCTCGCAGCCCATCCCCGCCGAGCACGAGAAGGTGAGTCCGCCCGCGGCGCCCTTCTTCTTTTGCGACAGGACACGCGACTGCGGCACGGCAGATTTTGACTGTCTGGCGC